TTTTTTTTTTTTTTTTGAGACAGGGTCTTGCTTGGTAGCGTAGGCTGGCCTTGAGCTCACTGGACAGCCAAGGCTGGCCTCAAAGCCACAATGATCCTTCTGCTTCAGCCTCCCAAGTAGGAATCTCTGTCAATTTTGTTAACAGTAATAAAGTTTTATTAAAGGTAGGAAAAGAAACCAGCTCTGCAGAGTTTGAACCCAATACAAGTAGGAAAAGAAGTACACACTACATTGTGTGAGTGGGCCACCATCAAAGGGAGGGCATGGCCTCCATCATTCTTTATGTGCCATTTTTCAATCCACTGCCTATTCTAATCCCATCCTTCTTTTGCTCTACTTTGTGACCCTAGACCTAGATTCTTACATTCTTTACCAGCTGGGACAATGTTAGGTTTTGTCAGTAGAGGGCACTGAAGAGATACTCCAAGACAAAAGCAGCAAGAAGACATTTCCCAATTGTGTTGTGGTCCTTTTCTTTAATTTGATACAGGAGCCCAATGTTCCTCAAAGATAAGCCCTGGCTGTGTCCTCAGATCATGTCCTGACAACAGTGGCTAAAGTTCTCCACAAAATTTCTTTGCCATGGGAAGCCTACTTGTTCCTGTGATGGCCACATTTTCTTCAAAAGAGGCTGGGGGTACGGAGAGGTCTTATTGTTAAGTCCTTAAAGTTCCTTCACTGTCCATTTTTGCTTAGCCTAGAGCCGATTGCTTACTTTTTCATACCGGCTACTTTTGGATGCCTTGGAATAGTGTTGACCAACCTTTTCTTTCTTTTGTTTCCAGAACCAGGGATTGAACTCAGGCCCTTGCGCTTTCCAGGCAAGTTCTTATTCTCCTAAGCCATCTCCCCAGCCCCAACCAACTTTTTCTTTAAAAAAGACTAAAAGTAAATATTTAAGGCTTTGTAAGCCTTAATGGTCTGTGGAATTCAATTTTTGACATTGAAGAGTGAGGATTAACACAGATAACACAGATAGGAAAATATCTGAGACTATGGTCAATAAGGCTTCATTTACAGAAACAGGCAGCAGGTGAAATATAGAAGTCATCGTACTGTATATCACAGCTCTTGCCTTAAGTCTTCTTTA